GCAAACGTATTGACGGTGGAAATTCTGTGTATTATAAAGTTGTATCGAGAAAGAATAAACTAGTTTTAATTAAGAAAGGACTTGTATCGCCTGAAGTTTCTCGAAAAGAATTTCTACGGGAAGTTAACAAACGAGCAGATACGCAACAATACACACCATCTACATAGATTTCCACATACCAAGAATGTCACTGTAAAGGACTACACTAGCAATGTATATTTAATTTATGGTTCTATCCAACAGACGATTTGTGCTTTATTAAAGAAATTATACTAAATTACATTATTATGTTAGCAAGCAAAAAAAAAGAACTTTTTATATATAACTTAGTTTGGTTAAATGTCACTTGGTGTTGCTTTTTAAAGATCTTTATTAATTCCTGCTAAGTTTTTTAATTAAAGAATTTATTTACAGACTTTATGAACATAATTCAAATGGTTAATTTATAAATAATTATTCCAAGTTTTCATAAATCTAATAAAAATCAAGTCGGAAAATGCAAGTCCGCTAACAATGATCCCCAAATGACATGGCTATCTTAGTGTCCGGATAAATCGCTTCGTTGGGATCTTCACATGCTGACACTGTCATTTCTTGCCGTGCCCTATTGTAAAAAGCGGAATATTAGTCCAGCGCCCTCTTGAAATAGTAGATCATTTTATTAATCTATTACAAGTGAAACAAAATAGTTTTATTATGTTTGATACATCAAAAAAAAAAAAATTACAGAGTGGAGAAAACATATTCTAATCATGCTTTATCTGTAGAGGAAAAAAAAAGAAACAGGATTATACAAATAAAAACAAAAGAAGTTACTATAAACATTTGTTGTATTATTTCATCTTTTTTTCTAATTTCAAACCACAAACAATAACACCGAATAAACAACATAATATAAAAACATAAAGGTTTTCGTCATCGTATTATTATAATTACAAATTTTGTCAAACGATGCCGCCACATAATAAATCCAAAAGTAACGTGTAAATCTTCTTTGACATAACATTTTAAAATCAAATCAAGTAAACAAAAAACGTGAAAATATGTAGTTTTGGGGGTGATAAAACACTATAAAAATTCTGACCTTGCTAGCTATAAAAAGATTTAAAACTGTTAATCTATATTATAAAATAAAATTGCCACAGCTTTTAGAATGCTTGTGCCAATATAGTAAACAGACACCTTGTGACAGAAAACTAGTAACATCATTTAGGCTATACTGTCCTTTTTAAAAGAAAGCCAACATTTGATAAAATACTTCATTAATTTCTGAAAGTTTACGGACATACAACGCTAAAACCAGGGGCTCAATTCTCCGCGGTGGACATAGCGGATAGTTCAATGCGGCTTTGCTCTAAAACAAACAAACTTTTGCTGGTTTTGAGTTAAACATTCTTCAGCGCTATCTGGAAGCATTATGCACTAATGTAAATAAGTAATACACAAATTAACTACAGTACAATACCTTTTAAAAATTAATTGTTATTTATGGGTGTCATGATATAAAAGACTGTTTAGTTTAGATATTAGTGATTAATTTATTTTTGTGAGTGAATATTTTATTATTGTTTTGTTTTGGTTCTAATAAGAGTTAAAAGCAGACGATTGTAGAAAGTTTTGTTAATAATTCATTGATATTGAGAATATAGAAGGCGGGCAGACGATTAAGTGATAGACATGTAAATAGTATGAGACGAGCCGAAACAGCAGACAAGACAATAGCAGAAGAGGATAGAAATTTCGGCGTGAAGTTAACTACCGTAGAAGTGATAGGCCTAACGATTAACATAGGTCTAACGTTTAATATGTTAGAGTAAGACTAACAGTAGAAACGAAGATAAAAAAAACAACAATTATTCCGTCAAAACATGGTTCTAAAGTAATAGAATCAGCCTGAGTGCACTTTGACAAAAGGAACAGATATTTAGAAGAAAGAAGACCAAACGATTACGGTAACTCGCGCCATAATTGTAAGTGAATCACACACAGAATACTAGTGCAATAGTAATAGAGAAGGTAGTTTGGCTTGTCAACTGAAATTCTGAAGTAATTGAATAGGTCTAAGTGGAGTTTTGATAAGAAGGGGAGAACTACATACATATATAGTGTTTATGATATGTCCATAATATCTATAGTGTTGAAGAATTTGTTGTACATACGTTAACTTGTTCTGAATATATATATATTATTTTGAAAACAAGTAAAGTGTATGCAGCTTATTTATCGTTGAATTTATCGCTAACAAGTCACTGACACCTACTGTAGAAGAATCCTAAGTCCAACAACAACATAGTATATACATATTTATACTATTAAGATATATAAGTAAAAGCCTTTAAATTCTGACAATTGAGAATATATATATATATATATCAATTTCTGTCAGTGGGCCTTATTTTGGGGAATGTTCTGACAGATAAGAAAGAAAAGAATCCTGATTCCAATTAAAGAATATATATATATATATATCAATAAAAACACGATAAGTAACATTAACTTTTTATAATTCACACCTGGTAGTATGAACTTGTGTTAAACATTAAATGTGTTTTTTAAATTTAAAATTTCGTAGCCCCCAGTGCATTTATGTATGATGAAGAGAGTTATTCCTTTAGTCTTTTAAAAAGTATCTGACTGAATATAAACACATGTTGCGAATTTGACATTTAATATAGTAGCGCCATCTTTTGAGCATAATTATAACAAACATTGTGATTTACATACTTGTGGTCAATGACGTTCATAGGAGTCACTTTAATATACTCGATATAAAGGTGTGGTTTCCTGAACAGTATCCAAGTGAGGGGGTTGTAGATAGTTGAAGAATACTCCCACCAGAATGTTACCTTCTGAACTTCGCCAATTTCTTTATCTGTTGTTGCCAGATAAGTGTATCGGGCTCCATGGTACAAGTCTTCCACGCTAGACAAAAATATGTTTAATTAGTTGAAGTAGTTATATTATATATAAATTAGAACTTTTCCCTACCTTCCCTTGCTTGTAGGGCAGAAATTAATGCGTTTTAAATACACGCAAGTAAAGCTTGTCATCTTGTATGAACCGGAGCTAGTTATGGAACTGAATATCGATAATTTTTTATTGTTATAAAAAACATTAAATATAAATACAAATAACTGTCCATGAATTGCTTTAGTTTAATTATCACTTAGTTCAAATTTAAAGAAAAATAAATCGTATTATTATACAGATTAGGCCTCACTATAGTCCTTTTTGAAGATTGTTTGTGTTTAGCTTAATTTCAATAAATATGTATAGCTATAGTATTGTACATTTTATTCGTAGCAATCAGTTTGAGGAATATTTAACTATATTGTTGTAACATTGTTCCTCCGTTGACAGGTTGTTTTAAATTAGGTTGTGTAAATAAATCAAAACACAGGCCATGTAACAATAACAAATTAGTTTATTCCCACATAGGCTTATACACTTTGTAACATGTAAGTGTAAGTGTCATGATATAAAAGACTGTTTAGTGTAGGTATTATTAATTTATTTATTTTGTGAGTGAATAGTTCATGATTGTTTAGTTTTTTCATAACAAGAGAATTTAAAGCAATAATTTGAAAGTAAACGTTATAACAAATTTTGTTACGTAGCTCGGTAACAATCGTACGTTGTGTTTATAATTCATTGATGTTGAGGCTATCGAACGTCGCGTGAAATTTATTGATGTTGAGGATACAGAGATTTCTAGACGGAGAGCAGACAATTAAGTGATAGATATATAAATAGTATGAAACGAGCGGAAATAGCAGACGAAAAGTAAAGTTACGAGAAGGAGTTCAATCAAGGAAAAGTTAAACGCAAAGTTTATATATAGGCCTAACGGTTGATATATTAGAGTGAAACTAACGGCGTTGAAAGAGATAAGAAGAATATTTTATTTCGTCAAAGGGAGCTCTAGTGTAATAAAACTAGCCTCAGTGGACTTTGACAAATGGACACACGATATCTGAAGTACGAGGACCAGACGATTACTGGAAGAGAAGTATATGGCTATGGTAACTCACGCTATAATTGTAAGTGAATTATACACGTAATACTAGTGCGAAAGAGATAGAGAAAGGTACTTCAGCTTGCCAACTGAAATTCTGAAGCAACTGAACAAGCCTAAGTGGATTTTTGACAACAAGAAGAGAACTATATATAGTATTTATGATATGCCTATGATCTCTATAGTGTAAAGAATTTGTTGTACATACGTTTAACTAGTTCGAATATATATATGTATATTATTTTGAAAACAAGTGGAGTGCGTGCTGTTCGTTTATTTTTGAATTTATCACCAACAAGTCACAGACACCTATTGTAGAAGAATCCTTAGCCCAACACCCATATTATTGAACCTACTTACTAACTACTACTACTATATATAATATTAAGAAGAATAAGCCCATTATTTTGACAGTAAATTATGGGCTTAAGTAACTTTACAGATGACGCTCAAACGGAAATACTTTGATTAAGGTAAAAAATAAAGTTACTTGTAACATTCACAACTGATCGATCTAGTAACTGAAAAAAAAAACATTAATAAAACATGCTCTCTGAATTCTTAATTCTATGATCTAATTGACTATTTCACCCGTATTTATAATATACTCCCTGTTCAAGATAATTCGTAGAGCTCCTTGTTTATTAATATTTCCGAATATTCTAGGGCTAACGTGATCTTAACGTCATGCGTCATCTAGCTAACATCTAAATTACAACATTAAAAATATAGCTTCTAAAAACATTATTGTATAGTTTTAATCATGGCTGGAGACGGCTTGAATGGGTAACGAAGAAAAACTTTAATATAAGTTTAACATAACAGCAAATGTACAACGTTTCGACAAGGTTTTGTCATCATCAGGTACTCTTGTACATTTGCTGTTATGTTAAACTTCTATTAAAGTTTTCTTCATTACCCATTCAAGCCGTCTCCAGCCATTATTGGTCTCAAAGTGGGTTCCTCGTCATCGAAATTGTATAGTTTTGTTTTACTAGTCAATTTGAAGATAACGTTCAGTGTTAATTCCGAGGAATACATATTTATATTATTGTACCTTTTAGTCTCAACAGTCAGTTTGAGGAATATACAATTATAATGTACAATCCAAACATACTCATCACTCAGCTTCAAGTCGACACTGCCCTTCGAACCTTGTAGAGCTATCCATAATTTCCCTCGCTCGTCTCTGCTTTTACTTGGTTTATATAGCTTAACAAGAACTTGATAATAATGTACTAATGGAAACAAGAAAAAATATATTAATTTGATGACAACGAATCAAAATTTTAAAATATTTAGTTTGCTAGTAGCGCATTATATTTTATTAAAATACTGTGAATTGTTCTGTGATCTTAACTTTCAATTGTGAAACAATGCTTTAACAGTTGCGTTTAATTACAGTATTTTGTAAAAGGCTGAAAAAATAATAACAAGCATAATGACAGAAAATCATTTCCTGATTTAAGACAAAATGTGTGATACATTTTAAACAATATTAATCATTATATGTCGTTTAACAATTACACCAAAGCTGCAACAATGAACTGGATATTCTTATCTCCCACGAAATTTACAAAACCGATGGTAATAAATTACTCACAACAAAATGGAGCTGATCCACTTGTCTTTAAGTACAATTTTTGAGGTTCTTCGTCGTTTTTGAATGGTCGATATTCATCAGCTCGCATACCCAAAATCGCACAACGACTACCATCTGGTCCGCATTCAGCACATTGGCCTTTCAGGAAAATCTCCCAGTTAGCGCACAAGTATCCAACGGGAGCACACTTATGGTTAATAGAATAATGAAAAAAATCTACCGCCCTCTGGTGGTTACAAGCAATAAATCGACGAGTTCCTAAAAGTAAAGTAAGTTTTCGGAGGTAAAAATGTTATTGATATGATTATACGGCACAAAAGATATTAATATTGTTTAATTAAAAACTTCAGAATATTTTTTTTTCTCAAAAACTATATTAACGAAATAAAATTTATTTTTCTTACATTTTTCAGAGTCAAGAATCATTACTAGTATATATTTTTTGCTTCAAAATCAGAAAACTGATAAACATAACAGAAAGTAAATTATACACCACATTTGCCAGCAAAGATATGTTTCCCTGACGTTAGGGTTATTTCGCACTTGTTGGGTTGTGGATTCAAAAATACTGTAATCTTAGGCCTATTTCGCATTCGCTAATATGGGATTTGTGCTTCCAAAAATACTCTAACCTCAAAGTTCCATTACAAAATATCAAAGCATCTTCGCTTTATACGAAGCCATAATATTCTCCTATTATTTGAACAGAGTAATATAAGTAGCTTATGGCAGTCATAAATGTCAATTAATCACGTGATCTCCATCGATGAACTGATCGATGTCTTATGTGTCACAAAATGTAATTACACAGAAAGTGCGTCAACAGTAAGTCTGCAGTGAACAGCTCAATGTGGCTTTGCTAAAAACAAACTAAACAAACAAACATTTTGTTTTTCTGTCAAAATATTGATTCTTCCGGTCTAGTGTTGTCTTAGTGCAAAGCTACACAATAGGCTATCTGCACTCTGTTCACTGCGGGGAATCGAACCCCGAATTTTAGCGTTGAAAGTCCGCAAACTTACCGCTGACCCACTGGGGAACATTTTAATTTTCCAGCATAAGTGTAAAATTAAATCTAATTCAAAAGGTTTTGCGGTTCTTTCTCTGATCACCCCCCCCCCACCATTAACTGGGAAAATAGAGTAATACATCTTCATCGGTGGCCCAGAGATAAGTTTCAGTGGTCAGAGGTTATAATTCTAAAGCTCTGAGTTCGTTTCCCGCGGTGAACATGGTGGTGTAGGTAGCTTATTGTGCATCTTTGAGTTAAAAAAATACAAATCAACGAATAGGTAGGGTAGGATGTTTTAATAACACTAGGACTAAAAGTGGCATACGTAGATATTATCGTAATTCCCTGGTGTTCATTTATATATATATTTCCGCGAAATGATCCCGAAGGCCACCTGGAGGGGGTCACGTGTTTTAACCATTTGCACCGCTGTATGAAAGTGCATCTAGTATTTACACCTTTTTGTTCATTCATGATTATAGTACTGTTTTAAGGTATCTAGATTTTCAAATGGATTGACCATTCGGATTTTCCGTCACCTTGCAGTGGTGTAAGTTGTGTTGTAAAACATATTCGCCCGCGTGCGATTACAAACTCCTTGTCAACTCATTTCAAATGAAGATAGATTCGTTAGAGGAGCGCAAAGAAATGATTTTTTAATACAATATGTTTGTCAATGAGCAACACAATGTCGTCTTCCCGTACTGTAGCGTGAATACCTCAGTGATAAACAGCTGCTATTTGCTGAAGCGTTGTGACGTAACAAGGGTTACTGGTATTTCGCGAAAGAGATGTTGCGTCAGCGAGGTCACGTGACTAGTGTCACGCCACCTCTCGAACCTTCGGGAATAGTCGGGAGATTATTAGATTTCGGGTAGTCTGGTATATATATAAGAGGGTGACAACGTGACGGAACAATGTGTGTAGACAGTGAGTAATTGAGTATTATTGAAGTTCAGCACGTTCGTTGTTATAGCGTTTGTTTTAGCGCGATTGTTGAAATTAAGTGTATCGTAAAGTTGTATTCGGAAAGAATAAACCAGTTTTATTAAGTCAGGACTTGTGTCGCTAAAGTTTCGTCGGAACGAAGTTACGGAAAATCAATTAACAAACGGAGACGTAACAGAGATTTCTTGGTATATTCGAACTATACGACTTATTTAAAACGAACGCAGCTAATTCATTTTCAGTTTTGAATTGATGAAATATGTTTACAGGCCTCTTTTGTTTGTTTTCTGCTGTACATTATTGCGATTGTTGCGACATCTGGTGCATTTTTAACCAAACCAAGTAACATATTTTGGCAATGATTACCTACACAAGAAAAATAAAATCAATAGTTATGGTGTATGCATCTTTTACAAGCTGGCGAAGCAGGATGATAATTAATTATACTTGTCATAAGACATTAGGGTTATGTCTAATATATTTTTAACACTAAATTCTTTATCTAAGCCCTCAGGGTTTTTCGAGAATTTGAAGATCAGCACAGGATATAACGAATATAGTATGTTTGAAATGCTATTATTATACACTCTTCTAAATCCTGAAAATCCCTAAGGGACTAGGTAAATAATGTGTTGTTATAAATATAAGAGGCCTAACACTAATGTTATATGATAAATATACTTAATAAAAATATCAGATTACTTCTAAAATGGAAACAGAATTATCTCCAAAACTTTCACCTTCTATAAGTCCATCTGTTATAAAGCTTATAAGCTTGCTTGTCTTGCACCCAGGCTGGTTTTTGCCATTATTGGGGAAAAAGTCCACGTGACCTACTTCTTGGCTCATTCCAAGGCCTAACACAAAACATCAAAAGTTAACAATCGATTAAAATATTTTAATTTCCATACTTAATAGAGAGAGAGAAGATAATTATGTTCCTGTCATATAAACAGGTATCGTCCTAGGCTGGATAAAATATCATTACAACTATATATAATGTTACCCGTTAAAATAATTTATTCTTTAACTTTTGTTTGGCTTTAACTTTTAAAGGATTGCTTATGTTTTTTGAAATTAACAAGTTTCATCTCCAAATAAACCCAAAATAATAAAAAAAGATGTTTATTCTTATTATTAAGAATGGATTACTTATTATTACCAGTAATATTAGTTTGTAACACACCTAACAATAAGATGGTTGTAGAGTCTGTGTGAATGGCATCAACGAATGTAGCGTCGCTTGGGTCAAGCCTAACCGCTGGTGGCATGTGTTGGAAATATGGTTCCGCGGGATCCAGGCCTAAAATGTGATAAAAAAAACAACTTACTTTTTGTCGGTTTATTAATTTTGAATACTTTTTAAACTAAATTAAACAAATAAAACTTCGTAAAATAACCTAAAGTAAATAGCTGAAATAGATTTAAAAAGTTGTATTTATAATTTTATTTAAATAGTACGATGGTGTTAACCTACCGGTTATCCTACCCAACTTTTCAAGTCTTTCTCCTGCATAACCGGCTACATGAGACCCTAGACTGTGACCTAAGATATGACAATCTTCTTGACGAACACCAAGCCATTCCTGTAAGTTAAACAACCAGTAGTTACAAGTACAGGACAGAGTATGTCGACCTTAATGATCTTAGTTTCTTACTTCGATTTTTTTTTTTACCAGGTAAGATAGCCCATAGTTTTATTTTTTAACTAGCGTTTAAAGAAGGCAAAAGTAGGGTGGTGATAATCCAATTAAGCTTTTCCTTTTTGGGTGTCCTTTTGAAAATTGCAGATGAAAAAACAGTTCACGAATTAAGGCCATATAATAACCAATATGTCTTTCGACTCTCCCCAGAAACAGTTCAGTGAATTTATTTCTATTTTGTTTATTGCAACAGGTTTTGGAAAATGCTCTTCCTGTGCACAGAAGAGGCGTTTGAAAACCTCAGTGCAGTTCAAGTGGAAAGCTACAGATGTCGCTCTTCTTTTTCTGAGCTTATTTTCTTAAAATTATCGAAAAAACACAAATAAAGAAATCAAAGCTATGACAAAAAAAATGTATTCGTGAAATAGATAACGAGGTTAAAGAAATGTTTCTGTACTACTTTCACCATGACTGAAAAAAACACTTTGATAATTTTTCTTTCCATTTTATAACACTTACTTAGAGTATTAGATTTTCATACACTTTCAGATTTGAAGTGGATTAGTTCAGATATGTCACATTTTTGATAAAAGTTATACACTAGTTAATATAGACTGTTAGAGATTATTGTTCTTCCAAGCAAACATCCCGAAAGTGGAATAAATCATTGAGTGTGTTTTCTTACTGGAATTATGGAGATTTTATTTTATAGGAATCAGTATTACCAGTTTTTGGTAGGAAAAAACAGAAGAAAGATAGTTGTAGATGTCATATTAATCTTGCTTTACAGTGGTTAAAGTGGACTTTTGAAAGAGGTGGAATTCCCTTTTGTAATCCACTTTGACATTCCATTCAGAAAACCAGATACACTAATGGCTTCAATCCTCAAGAGCCGGAACTCCATTCTGGACTGTTACATCCCAATTTAACCCCTTCTATACAATGGTTTTCCTGCAGAGCAGTCAGTTAAGCCCAAAAAATATCGGACTATGGAGTCCACTAATCCCCACTTCCCCATCTACAACCGGGATCGTCTATAAGAAAGGCTCAAAAACGACAGATGCACGAGGCACCGATGTTTATCTACTCAAATAATAAGAATATAAAAACAATCAAGGTCAAGTGTCTAGTGGCACGTGTTGAAGTGATAACAGTAATGGAAAACTTTATTGTAAAGCATTTATCACCTTGTGTGTCTCCCCCTTCCTAAACCTCCAAGTTTAAAATATAAATGAAACACGTAAGACAGTTAATCAGAACCAAAGATACAGTTTAAAAGTTATTATTACACAAAGTCAACTTACAACTGTACCACTATTAACTTCAACCTCGACATAGCATGGCTTGTGGTTAGTGTATTCGATTCACAATCAGCAGATCGCGGGTTCGAATTCTCGTCACCGAACCTGCTCGCCCTTTTAGTCACGGGGGCGTTATAATGCGATGGTCAATCCCACTATTCGTTAGTAAAAAAATAGAGTTGATAATGGGTGGTTTTGTCTAGTCTGTCACTACTAAGTTAGGGATAGTTAACACTGGTAACCCTCGAATAACTTTATGTGAATTCAAATCAAATCAAGCTTCAACAAAGTGAAGTAAAACAAATTTTACGTAAAGCAGAAGTATACTAAAGCCTAACAAAGACTAAAGAAAGTTAAAATAAAGTGCCAACTAATGTTTGACTCACTAGAAAATGGTAACAGTTCACCAAGAGTTAAGTTAAATCCACATTTAAGTTAAAAGCTACTACAGTTGGAAAAAAGTTTAAGTTAACATACAAGTTTACGGAAACTCAAAGATTATGAAAAGATCCTCACTGATTCCGTCTTCTTATAGGGCAAAACTGGTTTTATATACAAAAACAATAACAAAGACAAGTTTTCTCACAGACACACTTCGTACAGAAAGTCTGTGTTTACCAAGAGTCAAGCTCTTGGGCGTGACAGCTCCTGACCCATATCTAATTCACCAACAGGAAATATATCTGTATATTTCTGGACGTCACTGGTTATCTTCCTTGCAAGCAAGTCGAATAATTGCCAATTAGCGACAAAACATCTTGCATGCTCTCAAAACAAAGAAAGTTAAAGTGTTACTTAAGTATCCAAACTGGAAACTCTGAAAAGCACAGTAAGATTGAAAAAAAAAATCTTAACTAAGGGGGCGGTAGAGACATAGTACCATCCTCTACTATAGGCTTAATATATTGTTTGTTTTTCCTTTGTTCTTGTCCAAAGGAAGCCTTATCTAGAAAAATGTATGCCGTTAAGCCATAACATATATATAATCTTAAGTCTGAAAATGAGTTGTTGTTTCGGAATTTATAGAAGTGTAGGCGAATAGGTGACTAACAAGTAAATGATTTGTTTTAGTTTTACCTGAAGTCTGCTGATGAGTAGTGCTATTTCTGCCCCCACAACTCGGGTGTTAGAAGTAGCTTGTGTATATGGTAACCCGTTCCCGCCACTCCAGTCCACAATAATCACATTATAATCGTCATGGAGTAGAAACTCATCCTTCATATCCTACAAATAACAAAAAACAACCCTTAGAAATTAGAATGGTTTATCCACTACGTCATATGTTGACTAGAATGTTAAAGTAGGTTTCCGAATAAGTATATCACAGGAAATGATCACAAAGTAAGCCTAGCCCACGTTAGGCCTAATCTGGATTCACTAATATCTTGCTGTAATCCTTTGAAACTTTGATAGATCTACACAGAAGATATTTTGTGTTTAGTAATTAGCTTAATATGAAAACTATTATAATCTTTAGTTATCTACTCTATTATATAAGAAAAACAAAAACAATTACACCTTTGCAAATAATTTTATTCCGAAGATCCTTATTGCAATAGTTTACAGTTTATAGTGAATTCCCTTTTTATTTTATAAGCTTAGGGTGGGGTGAGAGACGTTGATGCTTCTTAATGTTATCAGACACATTTTATAGCACATTTATGAAATATTTAAAATCTTAAAATTGTTCATAAATTATGGCGAGATTTGTGAGAAAAGATAAAGTGAAATCTACTGAAGTACAAGTTGTCTTAAGTTGTCAGATAAGGTTATATGCAGTGAAAACAAGGTGGGGTAACTTGAAGCATTATTGCTATGCAAATAATAAGCACAAGGGTGCTAGTAGTGATATAATCTTTGTAGTGCACATAGGGCTAATGTTGTAGGGAAGGGTAGGTCAGAGGAGCTTATTATTAAGTAAAAGACATTTTAAGAAAAGGGCCATAATAGTATAATTCAGTCAGGGTTACTGTCAAGACTGAACTGTTAATATTAAGTTATAAGTATGTCATTGGGACTTAATGCTAGGCTTAGGTTAATATGTAAGGAAGAGCAGGCTGGCTAATTGGATTTGTGGACCAGTTCTGTTGGAAAAGAGAACTTTTTGGAATGGGCGATTTACATTTAAATAGAGAAGGGGCTGGCTTGTTTGCAAAGGTTATTAACTCAGCTATAAGGGAAGTTTTAAACTAAAACTAAACAGTAGAGAGGGCCAGAATAATAATGAAGGAAAAATACGATGTAGAGATGGGTATAGTGTGGGAACAATGTATACAAGTAATTTTAATGGTAAACTAAACTCTGATTATTGTAATACTAGAAGTATAAGAAACAAAATGGACGACCTTAGAGCACTGATTGGAACATTTGATATAATTGAAATAACTGAAACCTGGCTAAATGTAGACAATTTGGTTGACAGGAATTTCTTTAAAATACAAGGTTCCAAGTTTCAAAAAAGCAAATTTTGAAGAGATGAGACAAGAATTGTCTGCTGTGAATCGTGCAACTGAATTAGTTGGAGATATTTATCAAATGTGGAAAGATTTTAGAAATAAATTTTTAAATGTTCAAGATAGCCATGTCCTTTATAGACAAAAAAGGGTACTTCAAGTACAAAACCAAGTTGGTATAAAGGTTATAAGTGATAAAATTAATGAAAAGCATTATAATTATACGAAGTTTAAATCGATGGGAGATTTGGAGGTGTATAGAAAACCAAGAGAGTTGGTCAAATAGGAAATTAAGAAATCCAAAAAGTGTATGAAAAAAGGTTGTCTGATAATGTAAAAATTGATAGTAATGATTTATTCAAATATATTAGGGTAAACAACATGTTAGGATGGGAGTAGAGCCTTTAAGGGATGATACAGGAAGACTAATATCTGTTAAGGACTGGATATGTGAACTACTTGCTATTAGTTTTTGTAAGTCCTTGAATAATGGCCAAGTGCCAGATGATTGGAAGTTGGCTAAAGTTCCAATAATTATAGGCATATTAGTCTTACATCAGTTGTGGGAAAAGTTTGGGGAAGTTTGATAAAAGGTGCTTTGCAAAGTCATTTAACAAAGTTTAAAATTTTGTTTGATAGTCAGCATGGCTTTATTAGTGGGAAATCTTGCCTTACTAATCTTTTTACATTTTTTGAACAAGTTAATGCTTGGGTAGATGAGGGTGTGGATTTGATATATCTGGATTTTTAGAAAGCATTTGACAAGGTGCCACATAAAAGACTTATTAAAACATTATATCTATAGGTGTAGAGGATAGGTTGGCCCAGTGGATAGAGAACTGGCTAGATAGAAGAAAGCAGAGGGTTGTTATAAATGGGGTTCTATCAAACTGGGTTTATGTGACAAGTGGAGTATCTCATGGCTCAGTGTTAGGACCTTTGATCATTTTGATTTACATCAATGACATAGATGAAGGAATGGTCAATAGATCATTTAAACTTGCTGATGACATTCAAATTTTGGGTGTTGCTTGTTGTGAGGAAGATGCTACTGATTTGCAAAATGATTTGGATTATTTGGTGAGTTAGGCAAATAAATGGCAGATGGGTTTTAATTATATTAAATGCAAGGTAATGCATGTGGAATATCACAATTTGAATTATGACTATAATTGTGATTGGAATAACCTTAACAATGTTATGGAAGAGAAAGATCTCGGTGTTCTGATTGATCAGGCTCTTAAGCAATCCAAGTAATGTGCTGTTGCTAGTGGCAGAGCAAATAGGATTTTAGGTTTTATCTACAGAAATACTAAATACAAGTCTAAAGATGTTATAATATCATTGTATAGGTCATTGGTTAGACAACATTTGGCATACTGTGTTCGTTCTTGGGCTCCTTACCTTAGAAAGGATATTGAATTCTTGGAAAAGGCTCAGAAGAGAGAATCTAGGATGATACCTGAGATGGAAAGGTTGCCAGACAAGGATAAATTAGAATATCTGAACTTGTTTTTTCTTGAAAAAAGAAGAGTTAGAGGGGATCTGATTGAGGTGTTCAAGATTGTAAAGGGAATTGTAAGTGTTGATGCATTAACTTTTTTTTTTTGTATTTAATAGTGAGAATGATAAGACAAAGAGGATACAAATATAAATTTTTGGAGAGTAGGAGTCATCTTTATTTTTCTAACAGGGTGGTTGGTCTTTGGAACAGTTTGCCTTCAGATGTGGTGAATGCATTTAAATGAGTTTGAGGTTAAGTTTGATAAATATTTGGATGATAAGGGCTGGCTTTGAGTTTATTTTTATTTTTTTAATACTGTTTAGTTTAATTTAGTGGATAGGATGCCTAGATGAACCAAAAGGTCCCTTCTTGTCCTTTAATGTTATGCTATAAGGAAAGTTAAATTGTCATCATTCTTATAAGATGGTTAAAGTTTATCTTATAAACAGACATAAATCTATGAAACAAAAATTGTAAAGCTGTAGCAAAAGCTTGATTTACAAATCCTGCATTTGCAATTAATTGTTAATTTGGGCCGAACTTGGCTCAATGATTAGCATGCCAGACTGTGGATCCGAGTTATGTGGTTCATGTGCATTTTAGGACCATGGGTGTGTTAAAAGAGTGACAGGCCAATCTAACTATTCAATCTGGTAAGAGTAGCACAAGAGTTGGTGGTGAGTGACTAGTTGTCTTCCCTTCTACTTTATCAGAAACTGAGAGACATCTAGCTTTACGTGAATAACAGATTCTTTGTTTTAGATGTAGATAACGATGCTATTACATATTAGCTGAACGCTTTTCTAAAAGATGGCGCTAGAGACAAGTTTCCATTTTGAAACTAAAACTAAAAGAAACGAACTCAATAAACTGTCTTGTTTGACAATGATGACTTTTTTTACCTTTCAAAAACAACTTAACCAAAGCAACAAAGTGATTAGGCAAGTGAATAGGTTATGTTGGCTTTGGGTATTTGACCCTTTTACAGAATATTACCAGAATCTTTCATGAAATAATTCTTAATTTAAAGGTCTTCGCATAACAGATTTTTTCCATTTTTTTCAGTATCCCTTTTGAGAGAACATATTTTGTTTTTTCTACTTAGAAACAAAACTCTAGTAAAATAAAAAATTCCAGGAAAAAGTCCCACCTTCTTAAAATAATATATAGTTCATTAGGGCAATGTTTCATGTTATCAATATTTAGAACCGGAGCCCCATCTGGTCTAAACAATAAGTCAAGTGATTAGGACAAAACATGATGATATTAATATTTAGAACTAGAGCCCCATCAGGTCTAAGCAATAAGTCAAGTAATTAGGACAAAATTTGATGATATTAATATTTAGAACTGGATCCCCATCTGGTTTAAACAATAAGCCAAGTGATTAGGTCAAAACTTGATGATATTAATATTTAGAACCGGAACCCATCTGGTTTAAACAATAAGCTAAGTGATTAGGTCAAAACTTGATAATATTATTATATCAATATGAAATTTAATTTAAGAGACCTCTGTACTTTAAATAATAAAGTAATCATAGTTCAATGGGATAAGATTGATATATACTTTGAGTAGAATACATAATTAACTAAAATATTTCAGTTTTATTTTACCACTGTATTATAAAGTTTAATTAATTATAACATAACTTGATCGTATTCATAGGTGAAATTAAAAGGTTTGTTTTTGTTGCGTCTTACCCTCATCCAGTATCCAAAAAGTTGATTGTCTATCCATCCGTGGACGATGAACTTTGTCTTATGGGTTGGATCAAAATTTGATTTTCTTACTTTACTTTCATCAGAATTCGACAGTTCTTCGTAGTCCTTCGGAGACTTCCGAGTGTACAGATAAAATCTAACATTAATAACTTCACGATCGTCTGGTAGTACGTTGAGTGGCCGGAAGATGGGGTGAAAGAAGTCACCTCCAGTCTCAAAACAACCTAACTCACCTAAGCATTTCCCACTTCCTTTTGCAGCGAAACCTGAAGGTTTATTTTATTTTAATAATACATCATGTATAAAAAATCATACGTGTCAACAATAGCGAACAAAAATGGTTAAATCTGTGTTGCTGTTCTAAAAGGGAACATTTCAAAAATACTTTAATGATTGGCCCCCTTTTTTTTTCAGATTTTGTAGGTAATAACTAAGTGTACAGGTTTCGCTAGAGGTCACTATTAATATGTTTTAAATAAGGCGTGTGTCTATACATATATGTGTGTGTGTGTATATATGTATGTATTCAAATATATATATTTTTTATTGCTCTCATACAAATGATATAAACACAGTGATTATTAAGTACGTAGAAGTAAGACTTTTGTGTTCTTATGAATATTAAACCGTTACAAAAAGTTTTGAATCAATGACCGTGAAATATTTTTTTCCTTTATCTAATATAACTCAGAATGTTTAATACAGTTCCCTTATTTTCTTTAGCACAATGGGATATATGGGCATTGTCTACCGCGGGGTATCTAATCCCCAATTTTAGCATTGTAAATCCGTAACCCGCTGAACTACCGAGGGGGGTATTCAGTTTCTTTTCCCCCATCCAGGGCAAATGCAGTAGTAATATGTAAAGCATATTTATGAATACAGTAATTATTTGTGTATATTGCATCAGTTAACATCTGTTTCTTTTTATGTGTTTAGGTTTTGTTGTATGTTTGTTACATTCGTTTTGAACGATATATATAACACACTAGTCCATACCAGACTGGATCTCCTTGGGTTGTTTAGGTTCTGTTTGCCACATTAGACTGCGACCTCTGAGGGTTTATAACACTAAAAATCAGGTTTTAGTACCCGCAGTAGGCAGAGCACAGATAGTCCGTTGTGTAACTCTGTGCTCAACAACAAACAAACATCCGATTGGATTTCAGATGAAATTGGCAATTCACGTTTCATATAAAAAATACCAAACTCTTTAAAGTCCACTATATGGACATCACTCAAGTTCTAAACAGAAATAAATAATTAAATGTTTATGAAACTACAGAGTATTGTATATTGTCCAAAATTCTACGAAATAGCAGGACTGACTGTTAATTTTATAACGTCCTCACAGTTAAAAGTGCAGAACGTATTCAGTATCATATCGCGGCTCGAACCTTGGAATTGTAGTTAACGTACTGAAACGCAAAAGACGTCTTAGTTTTTAGAAATAAACGTAGATTTTGTAAAACTAACTCATGGAGATAAAACAGATCGTTCTTAAACATTGAGTTTGCTTGTTTATGTCAGAATATCACTTAAGAGTACACAAAGGCTATTTACACATAGACGTTCATAATTTTGAACTGTTACATTTCAGGGAAGGAAGCTAGTCAACAGCACCCATCGCCAACTCTTGGAATTCTCTTATCAGACCGAATTGTGGGATTTGACGGTAACTCTTAACCATGATCCAAAAGTGCTGAGCGCGTTTTGTGAGGCAACAGATCACGAACCATAAATCCTCGGATTCAGAGTTCTGGCAGGTTAATTACTAGGCCACGTCCAGACGAAATGCTGAGGAAAGAGGAGGTATATATGTCGAATAGATTGCAGTTTTTTTCAACGTTTATCTCGCTGTACAACGATATTCTTTCGTCTCTGTACTAGTTATATGACCAGTTAGAATTACAAACCATTCAGAGGTGATATAACTCTTGATCACAAGCTTACGTCAGTGGGGCCGTCCTCCGAGGAGACACGAACACTGGAAATTAACATCGTAAGTTGTTCGTAATTTTTTGTTTAAAGTTCTTCGTAGCACAGCATTAAAATTGATAGTCACAGATATGCAAACATACAAACAATAGCCGATAGACTCTTGCATA